TAAATGTGGTCCATCTATTTTGTATATGAGCAGGATTCTAAACCCCAATTAATATACCTATTCTCATATCATGAGCACTCATATTATCAAATTTCAAGGATGCCTATAATTAGATTAGCCAAATTGATATTCAAGTAATTAGAGAAAAAGGATATTATGAAATTAGATATCAAAGATTACATCAATTTATTGCAAAATTTCTGATTTATAATAGCAAATTAATCTCTTTCCACATTTTTTTTATAGAGAAGAAATAAAGATCTTACTTAATTAGATCACTTTAGTGGTTGATATGTTATCTAGTGTCACTATAATTTATCAGAATTTTGCAGGTCAATTTTCTAGCTTTGTTTTCTCTGTCTATGTTTTGCTATTTAGATAAAACTCCGTATCTTCACCATGTTGGTTGTAATGATATTGTCTTAGTACCCCTTTTCTCGTAATTTATTAGTAAATTTCCTTTTATTTCAAGAAAGGGGCCCAAATCTTGCTCATGTAGGCTCATGTCCTGATGTAAACTGGGTCAGCTAAAAGTTTTATATTTTATTTTTTACATAATTTAAATAAATATTTAACAAGTGAAAAATAGAAATTTTTATGGACAAACTGTGACTATATTTGTTTTAGGTGGAGGTTATATCCAAGCACAAAAGTCATATGGTACAACAAATTTTGATGAGTTGGGAGCTGGCACAAAGCACAAAATTTAGCATGTTTAAAAATTTTATTGATAAAAAATTTAAGTATGTCCTCACTACAAACACTAGAATAATTCCTTTTAAAAGTATTTCTTGGAAACTTAGTCATGGATTAAATTGCATATCACCAACACCATTAAACAAGATGGGTGTAATTGAAAAGATTTACCTTAAATGGAAGGAGGTGATACATAAACTCATATACTGGTTCAGATTAATATGAAATATATAAAAAAGATTCATAAACTACTTTATGGCAGTAGGTTCAAACCAAGAAATAACAACAATAAATAATACAAAAATGACAAAACATGGCTTTACATCTAACATTTAATACAAATGAGTCTAAAGGTGTTACTATCTAGAATATCTAGATATATTCTTTAATCTAATTACTTCTTTAATATATTTGTAATTAATGTTTAATATTAATATTTTTAGTACTCAATAGCTTGATTGAATATAGAAACATTGTCACTACCATGTGAGATAAAGGTCCCAGCCAAGAAACCCTAACTTGAACCTTAAAGGATTCTATCTCTGGAAGAAATTTGCCACAAAAGTATTATCCTCCTTAACAGGCTGTGGCTCGCCCGTTAACTTGATTCAACCGTTGGCAGCCATCAGATCGAATCAGGTTCTCTGTGAGAACATGGCTGACAACTGCAAAGTTCTCCAAAACCTAGTTGCCAGCTGCCAGGTTCTAGAGAACTAAGCTACCAGCTGCCAATTCTGGAGAACCTTCTCATCCTCAAATAACATTCTTCCACGTGTCCATTAACGGTCTCGCCACAGCTTGTTAAGGCCGTTCCACAAGCACAGGCTCGCTCATTCCCTCCAGAACGCACTCGCCAAGCTAATGCCTGGCTCGCCTATTCTGGGCGGGAACATGCTTGCCCTACCCGGGAACTCCTTCTTCCCAAACTACACCCACTTCACCTGCAACATCACTGAGCATTTGTGGAGCATCACTGCATAGGAATTCGCATTGCTGCAATGCCAGCCGGGCAGATCCACCACCATGCAAGCCAGGAACCCACGTGGCATGCCGTGGCAGTGGACATGTCACATATGAAATGCATAATGCAGCTGTTATATTTCTCACGTACTTCTAAGCGTTGTCTAGATTAGGCCTCAACACTGTCTCACTGGTTTCCAAACTGGGAGAGGCTCTAAGGACACTGTCCTTAGCAAACCGGCCCCAACTATGCTTGCCACTTATGTTCCTATCAGAACTCCTGGGAGGAAGATTGTGGAAACTCTAACTCCGGCTCTAGGAGGATTTCAGTTAGGAGTATGATGTTTTGAAGAAAATTCTAGATGTTCTGCTCCCAAGATGACTCTACTCTTTCATACCTGGGTACGTGCCGCTGTTTTACACACCGCATTGTCAATTCCTGACGTACGTATATGGGCATACCCTATTCGCAGCAGCTTGGATCAAAAGTCGGGTGATGACCTACAACATTCTAAATATTGAATTCGTAATTTCACTGCAATAAATCACAGCTAAATTGTGATCTTTACTAAAATCCCTTCCTAGGAAATATTTTGATCCAGAAATATGGATGCGCTTCCCGTTTTCAATTAAATGGAGGTTCCTGGCATGGTGGAGGTTTCAAGGCATGGGCGCTGTTTGATGCAATGCCACAAAGGACAGTGGTGGTTTGGAACTAGATCCTTTCAGCATATTCCCAGAACAACTATTTCTCGGAAAGTGGGACACCCAGAAGATGCTTTTCGATGCCATGTCCGAGCACACTTTGGTATCTTTGATGCAGGCATATTCGCTTCTATACAGATGCTGCAGCATATATTTTTAGCAAGATGCTGGAAAGTCAATATATAAATACTCTGGCAACTGCATAAACTAGTGTCACAGCGGCTCTCTCTTAGAGACAAAAAGCTTGTTCGATGTTTCCATCCTTGATAGCTGAGCGTATTGTGTTGCAGCATAGCCGACAGAGCTCCCGCATCGTATCGAACACTCTCTTTGCACCGCCAAATCCGCATATTCCACAATCATAAAAGTCCCCACTGGGATTATTTCATATGTATTTGCTTTAAAGTTTTTTACAAGATATTTATGTAACATTATATTAGTTATTATCAAAAATTCATTCCTTGAGTATTAAACTTTTTTCAATTCCTAAGTTCAAAACAGACATTTTTAAATCCTTAGTAAGATCAAATCTAAAATGTCTAAGAAAATATTTAGTAAATTAGGTTTTCTTATACCGAAAAAGTTACATTACCCTTGAAAATTAAAAACAAAATAAATATATTATAGAATCTTTTCGTATTTGAAGGTTTCTGGATTCCCAGCAGTTGGCTAGGATCATTACCGGTCTAGGGAGGAAAGATACAATGTCATCCTAGGTGTAGCTCCGAGGGCTCCTTCAGGATTCACAGATAAAAATGGTTTTTGATATTTTCTGGACACTGGATCAGCTTTATGATCGACGACGTCATGAAGACAAGGAGTTTTCTTTCTTTCTTTTATAGAAAAGAAAGGAAGAAAAAGCACAAAAACAACCAGCCCTCTGATTGACCTACAAAGCTCTGATGCTGGAGGGATCTTGTGTGAGGCAAATTACGTGGTCGCAAACGGCACTGGAGAAGCTTGTTTCTACCTGTGATAAATCACAGCTAAATTGTGTCGAAGAGTTAATCTTTACCAGCGAGAACGGTAAAAAGCCCTTCCTAGGAAATACTTTGATCCAGAAATATTGGACCTTTGGCTGTGTGGAGGATGCGCTTCGGGTTTTCAATCGACTGGAGGTTCGCAATATCTTCTCGTGGTCTATCATGGTGGGAGTATATTCCCAGCTTGGGAATCTTTGCGAGGCACGGGCGCTGTTTGATGCAATGCCGCAGAGGACAGTGGTGGTTTGGAACTCGATTCTTTCAGCATATACCCAGGACAGGGAGCACAGCGACTTTGTAGAAAACTATTTCTCCAAAATTATGCCCGAGTGGGACGTGATATCGTGGAATGTGATGATTTCCTTCTACGCCCAGGCGGGGCGCCCAGAAGATGCCCGGAATCTTTTCGATGCCATGCCTGAACACACTTTGGTTTCTTGGACAGCACTGTTGCAGGCATATTCGCTCGGCGGGCATACACAAGCTGCAGCATATACTTTTAGCAAGATGCCGGAAATCAACAGCTTCTCGTGGAACATCATGATTGCGGAGTATGCCGCTGTCGGGGATTTTGGCGGTGCAAAGCGAGTGTTTGACTCAATGCCGGAGCTCTGCAGGCTGTGCTGCAACACAATGCTGTCGGCTTGCATCCGGGCTGGAAACATAGAGCAGGCTTTTTGTCTCTATAACGTGATGCAAGAGAGAGACACTGTGACGCATAACGCAATGGTTTATGCATTTGCCAGAGCTGGGTATTTTGAGGAATCAAAGCGGATCTTTGAAACTATGCCCGAGTGGGACATAGTCTCGTTTAATGCTGTGTTTGAAACTGCGTGCGCGAATATGGAAAGCTTGGATAGATTAAAACATGCTTTTATGGAAATCAAAGAGACCAACATTATATCATGGACAATATTGTTTCAAGCATATGCCCAAAGAGGGCATTTGGATTCTGCCACAAAAGTTTTCGAAACTGTTCCAGTAGAGAAAAATGTGGTCCTGTGGACGGCCATGGTGGCCTCGCACGCACACCTTGGAAAAGGCGAGAAGACTTTGGAGTTACTGAGCTTGATGGAGCTCGATGGTGTCGAGCCAAACCAAGTTTCTTTCCTCTTTGTGCTAAGTTCGTGCAGCCATGTTGGTTTGCTTGACGAAGCTTTTGCCTGTTTCGCTAGAATGGTGGAAGACCATCGCATTGTCGTGTCGGATCAACACTACTGCATTCTTGTAGATCTTCTCAGCCGGAGTGGAGAGCTAAAAAACACAGAGAAACACCAGCACTGTGCTTGGTGGTGCTGATGGTCCCTTGGACAACTGTTCTTAGAGTTTCCGGGGATCTCGATTGTGGTCAGGGGTTTTACTTTTGTTGGATCAGAGAAACTGGCAAGTCACTAAAACTAAGCGTTTTCAATTGCGAGAAGTTCATTACGTAGAGGTGATGGAGTCATGCGAAAGCGTCAGTGACAGCGTAAGTCACCGCATCGAATGTCCGTGGGCTTGTCAATCACTTTGCACGTAAGTTCTTCTTTGAGGCTTGACAGGCTCTAGCTCCGACCCAGGCGGATTATGGTCTCCTTGGTTGGAGAGCCACGGAATCCCAATAAACAAAAATCAAAAGTAACATGCTCTAATAAACGTGATACCGTTAGGCTTTTGTTTAAACCAAAACCAACAGGCAGAGACAGCTAGAGTTCTTACTGAGCTATACAGTTTCTTGATCAAAACATCTTCTACAAATCAGATTACCAGGCAAAACGGAACGTTAACTCTTTCAGCAGATCCTCTGTTTCTTCCGCATACGGACAATCTCCAGCTGCGGAGGTGTCTTCTTCGGAAGAAAAATGATCACCTGTTGGTTGTCGTACTCCCAAAAGGACTGATTAGTATCGACGGACGAGAATTCAAACACAATGCTGAGGCAGCACTCGTCCTCCACAGGCTCCTCGTTGCTGTAAATCTTCACCATGTCCAGACACGTCTTTTGCAGGTCACCTTTCACAGGGCCAGATACAATGTCTATTCTCCCTGCAGCAACCACAATATCAGTCAGCATGCATCGTCAAGAGGCCACACACCACACTAACCTGCAAATCTCGGTAGTTTGAGACGGATGACATACTTGTCTTCCGACTCCTTGATGCTGCACAGTTCCCCTTTTGTTGCCTTCAGCTCAGATTCGTACAGCACCAGGTTCCGCTCAAAGACTCTCGCCTTGAAGAAGTTCCGCTGCTCTTTACGGATTTCTACGAGTCTTTGCTGGTATATGTCTTCAACCATTTCCGGCGTCCACGCAAGGAATTCATTTCCGACGTGTATCCTCATGAAGCCCTGAACGAAGTTGTAAGCGTCCTCAAGGTCTGTTGCGAGATTGCCAGTAACCAGTTTCTTCCTCTGAAAATGCGGTGATGAGAACGAGCTGTAAGAATTGAGATCAGCTTACCATATCGGGTTTTACGTAGTAAACCCCGACCAGACACTTGGAGTTCCTTCGAGTGAGCGTTGTGCCGGTTTTCCTTTCATATTGGACCTTGCGCGTATCATATTGTGCTTGCAGTTCCTCCAGAGTACCTGGCACCAGCTTATACGATTCCTCGGGGAAGGAGGTCTTCAACCAGTCTCTCATACCGGAAACATGCTTCTTGTACGCCCTGAAAGGAAGAATATGAGAAATATGTTTAGTGCTGTCGTCTCACTTACGCGTAGCTTTCTGGAGTGATCTCGCCGTCGCAGACTGTCACGAATCCAAAAATGTCCAAAATCCCATAGTTGTACACATCGTTGGCCCAAACAAAGGTATACAGTCGATCAACGGGGTGAAATTCCTCGAGCTCCCTCAAAAGCTCGTTACAGCCAGATGAACCCGACTGAAATGTGTCCTCGTCTTTCAAACTGGACCAACATTCGTTAGTGCCTGCTGCGAGGGGAAAACGGATTTAATTTACCTCCATTTAGCTTCAGTGACGGAAACCGGCAGCCAGAACTCGGGCTTCACGTAAGGATAATGCTTCTTCATCCACTGGATTAATTCAACGTTTTTCACTTTGCTCTTGAAGTCGCAACGCCACCGCTGTAGCACAACGAAGCACGTAAGTTGCAGGCAGGCAGATCATTTCATAAGGCTACTTCTTACCTTGGGTTCGTCCTTGTACTCGACCTCGTGGTATTCCCGCATGTCCGTCTTTACCTCGAAAACAGCGTTTCCGTCGTCGTCACGAATTATCTCACCATTCTCGTCGCGTTGCACGACATAGAATGTGACTCCTTCCACTTCTGCAATCATGTCTCGATCACGGGGAATCACGTACCGAAAGCCGGGAAACAGCGAGCCCATGTGAATTCTGGCTTGAGATTCAGTAGCTACCTCAGAAAAGCAGCGCTTCGTCTCAGCTGGTCCCCGACTGATCTTGTCAAGAATAGAATCAAGTGTCGCCTGCCTCAAGCCGACATAAGTCTGATCCATCTTGTCGTCTGATGGAAAGTTGCCGGAACAAGATACTAGCGGATGCTGGAACATGAAGGAGGCTGCAGTTGCTTCGGATGGCGGACAGTTCAAGAGAGACCTTGTCCTGCTAGAACCCGGGCTAGCCGGGGTAACAGGAGGCACTGTAACCGGAATAGCAGGAGGCGCGACCGAGGAAGCCGATGGAACCGGATCTACATCCATAGCTACTGGACCTCGGCACTTCCAGAACCCTACCCTAAACCCTAAACATTTCTCGCCAGGGTTAACAAAATAGTTTACGAATTTATTTATTTAAATATAATTTTTGTATGTAAAAATATAATATAAAGTTTCTATGATTTATTGCTTATAAACTAATTTTTTTTAAAAATACTCACATAATAATCTTTAAAAGATTATTATGCATTGCATGTAGCAATGTTTAGTTTGCTTAATAGTAGTGTTATTCTTACTTATTAATCTAATTGATCAAATAAAGTTTAAAATTATAAGCATATTTGTAATTTATAAACACAAGATTAATCTTGTTGCATATCAACCATTAGAAGATAAAATAAAAAAGAATAAACTAGAAAGGGTTTTAGAAAGTTTATAAATTATAATATAAGATTAATTTAAATGAATAATAACCGTTAGATGGTAGAATATCCTAGAATACTCAAGCATATTTTAGGTATATCTACTACCATCTCAACCCCCTATAAGTTTTGTTTAAGAAAACCAAAAACCACTCATTACCAAAAAGTTTATATATATCCTAAGTCTGTCCATTTATGGCCCAATGTCCATCTATTTATAGCCCAACTTTTCTTCCATCAATAGCCTTAATATTACCTGTTTGTTGCCGCAAGGAAGAGTGAGGATGGTGTGGGACAACAATATTTTCCAAGTAACTACAAACAAGCCTAAAGACATTAGAGTAAAAATAAGCAAATTTGTTACCTTTGGCATTAGAAATTCCAAGACTTCATTCTTTCTCTTATTTTTTTTTTCTCATTGCTTCCTCTTTTTTCTCCCTTTTTTTTTCAAAGCTTCCAATTTTTTCTTCTCTACTGCTTCAATTTTTCTGGTTGCTACTTCTTTCCTCTCCTTTTTCTTGATGGCTACTGCTTCTTTCTTTCTTTTTTATTGCTGCTTCTTATCTTTCCCTTTTCCATGTAGCCCTTTCTATTACTTTCAATTTTTTCTGCTTCTCATGTGCTTGTTTTGTAGTAGCAATTGCTTTAACACTTGTGAATTCTAGACTTGTTAAAACAATTCTAGCACTAGCTTGCAACATTAGTCCAAGTCAAGGATGATTTTAGCCCCTAAAAATAATTTTGCATGCAAGTATGCCACCTTATTGTTTTCTAATTGCCATCCAGGCACATCTACGTGTTGCTTGTGCTACTTAGTTCGATGCTTTGGCAAAGCTCTTGGGAAACAAAGCTGTAAATAAATGAGAACTAAGAAGTGTTTTTTACCTAGCTACTCAAGCTGTCTAAGAAGTTTAGGATGCTCAAGCTGGTCAAGATGACTACTTGCTTGTTACTCAGGCTGCACTAAATGCTGTAGATGGACCTCAAGTTGCACTTGATCCTCATGTTGTTTGGGCTGCACTAGATCCTACTCAAGTTCTAGTTCATGATTGAGGTGGCTTCTAATCTCTTAGTCTCCTAGCTCTAACGTGTTTTCAAAGTTTGCTTCAAAGTAGTTGAGAAATATTGCATGGAGTGTACTTGGACCAAAGTGAGTGTCCATGGCATTCTTGTTTAATGAGTATAAACCATTTGCTCTAAAATTGGATTGAATGTTTGCAAGTGTCAAAGCCATAGCCATGGCTCTACTAGATAATTATGCAAGATCTCCACGATTGACTTCATGTCCTAGATGTCCAAGAGTGTGTTCATCCATGCACTACTTGAAGTAACACTTGTATGGCCCAAAACATGCAATGTGTAACGGCTGCATGAAGTATCTGTTGAAAGAAGAATCACATCCACACCTAACATTCTTGTTGTGTCAAATGTAACCTTTGTGACATGGGATCTATGGCTATCAACAATGAGAGCATGGCAATTTGTAAGCAAGCATCCACCAAATACTAATTTCACAAATTGTTCAAGCTATTGTGGCCACAAGTTGTTTGTCATCCAAACTTTTGATGGTGAATGCATCTCCAACTTCACAATTTGCAATCCAATTTTGCATCCTCCACTCACCTTTGAAAATATAAAAGTTAAGTATTCATCCACCTGCTACATTTATGGCCACTAGAACAATTATATGCTCTGTGTTGTTTAAGACAATTTGGTAATTGGATATTGCACTTCAAGCAGCCAACACTTTGACACCTCTAGAAAGATTAGCTTGAATGCCAATTTCACCAATATTTCAAATGTGATCTACCTCATAGTTATTTCTAGTGTAAGTTTCTTCCAAATTTTTCTAGAATTATGCCATAACTACTTTTAAGGACTTTGCTTGTTGTAGCTCCAAAGCCTCAATTACTTTGTTATTGATCTCTGGATGTCTTTTATTAAAGCCTCAACACCATTTTTGACTTGGTCCTCCTTCTATCTAGGTAATTACTCTACTAGCAATTAACAACTTTGTTGCATCTTTCAGTTGATTGAAAGTGAGTGGATAATTTATTTCAACTCAAGCTTTCATTAAAGATGCAAGAGACTATTCTTCCAATGATATAAGAATGGTGGGAGGACCTAATTGTCTTGTGTTATGTTCTTTTAATTGATCACACAAAGTTGTTTGAGGTACATTGAATTCTTAAGCAACTTTTCTTTCAAATATGCCATATTCTTCCACCTCATTCATAACTTTCTTTATTGATTCTTTATTCCATATTTTAGTTGCATGTTTCTGGCTATGTGTTTTGGTTGGAGGCTCACTTATAAAACATGGACAAACAATAGAGAAGTTAAACATTTTTTTTTCTTTCAGCCTGACGATCTTTTACCTTTGCAATGCCAGGACATTGGCTTTTAGATACACTTTCAAGGATAAGAGCTACCAAACTTCTCTATACCATGGGCTAAAAGAAAGTTTAGTTAAAAATCTGAAATGGAAGTAGATAGCTACTTTTTGTTGCAAGGATGGCCCAAAATGGGATAACCTTTAGGAGTTGCAAGTGTTTGCGTATGAATTTCTGAAAGTTGTGTTCTTTTGCTCTATAATATGTTAGTTTCTTGTTGTAACTTTTTGACTAAGCAAAGGAGTGGCATGTGATGTATTTCATTTATGTATATTAAATGTTCCTTTCTCAAAACAATGGCATACCTCAAGATTTGATATGTTCTTTCCAACTTTTTCACTTTTCTTGCCCACTCTTGAGATATTTTGACCCTATGATGAAATGTAGTTTGATGAATAATTGAACTCAATAAATCTTTTGCTCTTACATTTTTATTAAGCTCTCTTATAAACTTAGAAATACAAATGATAGAAAACAATGGAATGAGTTCTTTTTCTTCCAAATGGCTAGATTTCTAATTGAAAGAAGTAAGATAGCACTCAAATCCATTGTAACCTAGAATGCCATAGAACGCACTGAAAAGTTTTCCATTTATCACATAAACATAGTTTGAGCCAAAGGTGGCCTAAGGTGAGATGGGCCCATAACCATAATTTCAATTTTCCACTATTATATTATTTCTTTGATTGGAACTAGAGTTCTAAAGGAGTATTATCCTTTGCAGTAATCAAAAAATTTCCAATTTAGTTAAGCTCCCAGCTTTCTATCAATTATAGAGCAAAATCCAACTTCTTCCTTAGCAATATAATTTCTACATATATGATATGAAAATGCAAATTTCTGTAGCTTTCACATTGGTGGAGATACAAGTAGCATTAATTGTCCCCAAAGAGTGTTTAAACTTGTGCTTTTTCTTTAGATCTAGTTTCTACATTATCTAAAGCTTTATTATTCTTCTTTTCTTTTATTTCTCTTTTTCTTGATGACAATGGTTTCAAATCCTATATATATATATATATATATATATATATATATATATATGCCATTGCAATGCTATCCCTTTTAAAGACAAATAAAAAACTCATGCAAACACCAAATACTATTTTAAGAATAATAAGTGGTGATCACAAAAGTAATATACAATGATTAAAATGTAATAGCTTAGTGGGGATTAAAGCATTCTTTCAAGTGTTTTAAAACATGCATTTAAGTGTGTTGAAAACACTAATAATATTTTTTAACAATTGCATCAGGGTTATTTGTCTTTTATACAATTTAATGTTTGTTTTTGGAGTCTCATGCTTCATACAAAGTTGAATATATTAGAGTTGATTAAATTGAGCATATTATATATTGTGGCAAATGTTTTATTAAAATTTTGTAGTGCTTCTGCATATATTTGCTTTAGCAACCCTTAATGATAACATAATACACTTTTCCCTCTTGTAGCCACATGTGCTTTAACTTAAATTCTAAAGTACTTTGATAAAAGTTGATATTGTTATTGCTCATGTTCAAGGACAAAAACATAAATAAAGTTATAATGTAAATCTTTTATATCATCTCCTGATAGCATAAGTCTATAGAACTTTAGTTTGTGGTGAATATGGAGGTGAAGTGGCTAAATCTTATAGTATTGAAAGATAAATTAATATAAACACTTTGAGCAAAACATTTGGATGTCAAGGTTGCATTTTTAAATACTATCTCTTTGGCTTTCTTTCTCAATTGTGTTCATTTTAACTATAGTTGCAAGTGAAAGTTGCTGAAGGCCACTCACTCTTTCAGTGGTGGTAACAACTCATGGTAAAGCTATAAGCTTAAAACTTATTTTTTTCTCTTTGTGATTACTTATGTATAATAGCTACTCTCATGGTTGCTAACAAAGAAAAATGGCAACATCAAGTATAGTGGAGCAGAGTGAAATAAGTTTAAAACTATATAAACAAAGTCTAATTGTTTTAAAGTGTGAAAGATACATTCTTGGACCTAAAGCCTTTCCTTACAACTTTTTTCATTATGTAGACATTCCTAAGGTTAGGTCTAAATTGTCCTCCAAATTTTTATAGGTAACATTTTCTCACATCTAGGACTCACTACTTTACAAATATTATATGTTCAAAGTTGATTAGTTAGTTGACAAGCTTGGACCAAGTTTACAAACCAATGGTCCTGACCAGCCTCATCTAAGTTGACTAAAGTGTTGACAAGCTTTAACTGAAACTAGACTTAGACTATGGACAAATTGG